GAACATGCACCCGAAGTCATCCTGAATAATTTTACAACACGACTCGGACATTCTATTGGTCGCATGTTTGCTTCTCTCTTCCCACATGATCCTCAGTTCATTGGAAGACAAGTAGCTACATTTCACAACCAGCGAGACTACATCTTCTTCAGATTCCACAGGTGACGTTTTTCACAAAACTCACAAATGAGAATGGTTTTGTAACTTACTTCCTAATTTTTACTTTTATTTCTTTCTGAAGATATATCTTCAAGAGTGAAAAGAAAGTGGGAATTCAAGAACTTGGGCCACGTTTTACTTTAAAGCTGATGTCTCTTCAAAAGGGAACCTTTGATTCCAAATTTGGAGAGTATGAATGGATTCATAAGGTATGCCTAAGTGATGATAGTAGTCCTGCTTGGGAAGGGAGACTAAATCTGACCTGAAATGTAACCACAAATCTTAGCCTAGAAAAGCCGTATAAATGCAGTTCTCGATACAGAAGTGTTTAACTGGAATACTTAGAGGTGTATTTTGAGAAACACGCAAAGTAGAAGCATTCTGCTATGCTGCAAGTAAAAAAAAAAAAAGGCAAAGATTATGAATATCACTATACCATGGTAATTTCTTTTACATACACAGATACAAGCAAATATGAAAAATGCTCCCCTGGTATAAGCTATTATTGGAAGCCTAGTAAACTTGACTAGAGCCATTTTTGTGCAAGGTTAGTGCAAGAATCATAGTGAATGGCCAGTAACACTGACCTCTGCACATCTTGAAGTAAAATGGAAGTATTACTCTAGGCAATGATAAATACTTTTCCAGTCATTTTGCCATGGAATTGCAGTTGATTGACAAAACTTAGGAGTATCCAAGCTATACCAGAAAGAAAGAATTCTAATACTCCTAGTACAGTTAATGAAATTGATAATCTTGTTTGTTTTAAAGACACTAAGTCTACTGTTAGTAGGCAGAGAACTGCTACATGTTCTTTAGTTCTAAGTCACTAATCTCTAATTCTCCCTTGTATAAAGACTCGACTACGCTGTAACTGACAAGTTTCACTGCCTAACCTACTATAAACTGGAGTGGTCATCCTTGTTCGTATTCTGTTGCATGAATTTGCTGGTTAATAACTTTTCTTTTAAATTTCAGCGCCGAGAAATGGACACAAGTAGAAGAAAATTTCACTTATAAGGGACAGCTATCTGCCAACTGCTGGTGACCAGAAATACAACTGCCTTGAACCATGGATCATCTCAGACTCCTAACTAACGATAATACTACTGACCAGTATCTGTCTGCAGAAAGACAAACTGCATTAAAACTTTCTACAGGAGCTGATCAAGTGGGATGTATATTTCTTCCTATGGTTGTAGCTAAATCCAACATGACAAGGACAGTGACTCTTTTTTCCACTTTAGCAGGAAAAACTATGGCAATGTCACAGCAGCCTGTAATTTAGCTATCACTGAAGATTTGCCATGACTGCTGCTGTGCTGTAGAGAAAAATTACACTTTGCAACATCAAAGACAGTAAATATTTTGGTTAAAGATATTCTGAAAATAAAATATTTCTAGTTATAAAGCTTTTTTTTTTTCTGTTAAGCAGCTAAATCCAGACATCTTTCATTAATCAGGTATGAAATAAAGTAAACCTCTTTGTAACTTACAGTATGCTGTTCCCTGACAGTATGGTTATAGTTTTCCACAAATGGTCTCCTATCTAGAGAACATTGAGAAGGCTGTATGCAATCCAGGAAGTCTGTGGTATTTTATTTTATTAACATCTTGCATAAAGTAGCCATGTGGCTGAGGTTACAAAAATAACGTGCTTGACTCCTACACATATCTCTTCTGTAAATATCACATTTAGAAGAGGTATATACCCAAAGCAGTATATTCTCGTATATAAAAAGAAGTAAACACTGATGGTAAAGAATTCGTAAGGCAAGATTACAGGAAGCACATAAAATCTCTCTCATCTAAAACGCTGCTCAGTTGAATGTGTGAGGTCTCTCATCAGGGTTTTTCCCCATTAAAATCTTAAAAATGCTTCTTCAGCCTCATAGCTACACTGGAGTTGGTATTACCTGCAGAATAAGCTACTGTTTTGCCTTAAGTTTGCAGATTCACTGGCAGCTAAAAAGCTGAGTTTTCTTTGAATTACTTTTCATATGCCACTGTACGTGGTTTTTTGTATTTACCTAGAGAGTAAAGATGGCTCAAAAAGTCAGTAATCAACTAGGGAAGAATTACTCTTTAGACAAAGAAAAATTAAGTTACTCTTTGTCTTTATTTCATGTCTATGATATGGGACAGTTGTATAGTTGGAATTACAAACTAACAGCCAAAAATTTTTTCCTGCTCTATTATGGTTCTAAGTATAGTACTGATGAAGTCTCACTGTTCTGTAAGACTATCAACCCCAGGCAAACTTGCAGCAGCACAGAACATTTAAAGACAGACTCCTGTATATGCTCTCCAGCTGCTGCAGAGATGCAGTAACTGATAAGGTATCAACATATCCAGAACTGACTTCTTACAGTAATTTCAAGATCAGACTTAAGACACTTTTTATTTTTTGCTTGGCATATAAAACTGATTCCCTTATGAAACAGACGTATTGTAACTAGCATACAGTTCATTTGGAGAGGTAGATGGTAAGAGGTTTGACGACAGTAGCAATTTTACAGTTAGATTTGGCACGTTAAAGCTAAGCTTTTGTACAGACTTCAAACCAGGCCACTCCTTGAGGCACTTTGCTCATACACACATCAGCAGCTAGGAAAAGATGCTAAAAGATCTGAAAAACAAAAGCAGAATGTAGTTAGAAATAATAAACGAAGCAACGCTATGTCTAAGAACATGTACCTTCAGAGTATGCTAAGGACAGCTATTTAGGAAAAATCCTCCTTTTTCACAGCTGTTTTATTAAACTCTTAGTTTATAAAATAAACTTCATGAAGCTATCCCCAAGGGTACATGAAGATAATCAAAGCTGTTACAAAAAAACTGAAGCTTAGTGCCTCCTGGACAGAGAAAGTTGTTCCTGGTCACTTGGTGCCTACAGAAATACCAGGCATCTACTTTGCCTTTGAAAAGCAGGGGCAGTCTGTGTAACTAACAAACTACACTTCCTCTTTACTCCACAGAGGTGGTGCTGACTGTCCAAATATGAACACTCTTGGCTTATCATGAAAACCAGGGTTACAACTAAGAAATTGCCCATTTTGAGGAAGTGCTTGCAAGAGATACAGTGAAGGACAGAAATTTTCCATATAGGTAGTGTAACTAAAGCTGCTGTTTTAACAACTTTTGCCTGTAACATCAGCAGAAACAAGTGCTCTGTTCCAAAATCAGAAAGGGAAGATAAGGGCTGTAACAGAGGAAAAAATTATTAAGTCTTTTATGCCCTATGTATGCATACGTGTGTGCAAGACAGAGGAAATGTTATTTCCTGACATCCACACCCAGGAATTAGTAGACCTTGCCAAAGCTCAGTGGTGAACTGCTTGTGTCACTGATTAAATTACTTTATTTGGCTTTTTATAGGTTATCAGTCTATAATGCTTACAGATGATCTGATTTCTTCCTTGAATTACTGCTTAAATCTGAAGCTATGGCAGTGTGAACACAAGTCAGCATCCAAGAATAATATCTTTTTAATAAGAATAGTTGATAAAATTCACAACAAAAGTATCTTTTAATAGCTACAACAACTCTAAAGCACATTTCAGTTACACTGCTGTAGTTCATTGCTCAAAACAATGGAAGTCTCTCTGTTAAATAGTTAAGCATCAACCTCTATACTGTTACTACTCTGGTCTTTACTAGCATGAACCACCTTATTTATACACAAACTTTTTGGAAGCTTTCTACAGTCTGCTTGAGGGCAGAAAATTTTGAAGAACAATTTTAACAACTCAGTCTGACTGTGGTCACCTTTCTGCTGCTCAAATAAGACAACTTAAATCAATTCAAAGGTGATGTAAGTCAGCTACAAAACCCCAATTCTTTAAGGTTAAGACTTGCTATGATATTTCTAAGTATTGTGAACTATGATTAATTGCCTATCAGGTGCTTTAAAATAACGTATATGTTCTCACTCCCAACAGATCCAAGTCAAGGGGCAATGAGAAGAGAGACATGGTGAAATTATCATGCATTTACTGTGGACAAAATATGAAATAATTGTGACTCTGAGTCTCGGTGAGACTACTGTGGATCTAAATCTCACCCTTCTAAATAGCTTAGCCTAAAATCTAACCACCAGAATTTTCAAGGAATGCCACATTCGTAGTCTTCATAGTGATAGCAGTAGTGCTAATGATCCTATAAAAGTTTCAGAATGAAAATCCAAGTGAGTTTTCAACAGTTTCTAGTTATTTAAACTGCTACCTGTGTAGTAGCTTATTTGAGTGAAGTACGGGCCTTGATACAATTCTTGGACTACACACCTTTGTTCTTTTGGCTTAGAGGGTGTGTCCTATAGGGGACAGTGCTCTACTTGGAGACCACCACTAACCTAACTTTGGAAGTGCTCTTTGAAAGTTTAAGAACTAAAGTCTGCTTTGTCTGCCCCAATCAGGATTCACCATGTATGCTGCCAGGCAAGTAATCCTATGTGAGAAAAGGGAAATAATCCCCTTACACAGAAGGAAGAATCAGCAGAATTACTGTACAGCCAGGTTAGTCCCAAATAGCAGCTTAGTCACACCTCGCCCCACTATTACTTTGCTGCAGCAACATAAACTGGTGGAAGCTCTGTAACAGCTAAATGTTACTTGTAATACTTAAGAACCACATCTGTCCAGTACAGAGCTATAAGCAGAATAGGGGAGGAGGGGCCAAAAATGGGGATCTAGACCAACATCAGCTGCACAAGTCAGATGTCTCTTCTGAATACTTTAAATACAGGCAGTCTCATTTAAAGCCAGCTATTTTTAATGACAAAACAGTTTATGAATCATAATTAAAGAACTTACCACTGAAAGATCTCAAAGTAGTTCACGTAATTACAAAAATGAACAAACTTTCTGGGGTCTGAAAGGATTTGTACTTGATGATACTCCTGTCAGTAGGGGATCATGTTGTGCATTCTGCAAGCAGAACTGCTTCAAGTCTGCTGCAGCCTGAGAAACCTAGTCACAATAAAAGTTGGTGTTAGAATTCACTGAACACTCTTCACTGAGGATATAACTGCATCAAAAAGTATAAAGAGCACTGCTAAATGATTCTGTAATATAGCTTAAGTAGATTTTATACAACAGTTTCATCGTAAACTTTTTGTTTCTTAAAGACAAGAAGTTGTGCAATATGGGAATAAGAATTAATTTGGACAACTTTCAGGTTAAACTTCTAAGCCTGAAGGGTGAAAGATGAGCAACATCTTGGAGATGGCTTTGTTAAATACATGAAGATCCTTGTTCTAGCATAAATCGTTACAAATACAACCTACAGTTTAAGATGCTCTACTCGACTGAACTGGCATTTTATCTTCCTTTGGAAAGTCACCCTTTCGATGAGAGAGTGTTTGGGTTTTTTGGCAGGCTGTACCTCCCTAGAAACAGAACAGTGAAAAGATTCGTTTTGCTTTTCTTTCTTGTAACTCTGTACTCATAAAAAAGAACGATCAGAGTTTCAGAAAGTAGCATCTTCACTGGTATCTTGTACCTCCAGTTTACCCAGAGTTTCTCTAACTTGACAGGGCCCAGTCTCACCCCGAAAATGCACAAATTAAACGCACTTAGTGCGTCTGGCAGCGAAGCCCCGCTTCAGAGTCTGGGCCGGCCCAGCCACGGCAACCTGTGGTGAGCCCCGGCTCGAGCTGCCCTTTTCACCGCTCTGATGCACGAAGGCGCTCCTCGGAACAGGGAAATGAAAGGGGCGAGCGGCGCCCGTCCGTGCCCTCGGGGAGCGCTTCGGCCGGAGAGCGGCCCCCGGGGGTCCCGCGAGCCCGCAAGATGCGGAAGGGCGCGG